AAACCCTAAACCCTAAACCTTGAGATGCCTCTGTTCAATGTTCTCCCAGTATTGAAACAAACCCAACACTTCTTCTGAGACACACCCTCGGCCGCCCCATGAAGCTCGCAGCGATTTCTCTGGCCGCAAGGAAGCACGTGCAGCTTCATTAAGCTTCTATTGCGTTTGTTCAGCTCTTCCCAAAGCATTGTGGAGCTGTATCTTGAGCTGTTTGGCCCTAGCAAGTATCTTTGGAGGATGCACCTAAGACTCTAAGACTCTAAGACTACACTCTTGCGGAAGCAAACCTAGTAATTTCGTGGAAAGCCGGAAGCGCGGAAAGCCTCTGATCTCTCCGGGGCACAGCTGCGTCGGCTCAGTTCGTCTATAGGAGAAGAGATGGCCCCGCTCCACCATACCTTTGCACAAGCTGCTTCTGAGAACACTATACGTGGAGGGAGAGAAGGGGAGAGGAGGGGGGATAGGGCGGATGAGGAACAGGGCGGGAGAGAGAGAGAGTGAGTGAGTGAAAGTCACGATGCAGACGTGCGCGCGATGCACATTAACGCCGGAAGAGAGACAGAGACGGATTTGGGGCGGAAGAGATCTCACCGACTGCTCTGAATGCGGCTTCGGGGCGTGACCACGGGAGGAGGGAGCTCCAATTTGAGACGGTTTACTTCTGCTCGGATGTGAGGAGGCAGGCGGCGCATGCTGCTCTCCACAAGGTGCCTCGGCTTGGGGATCTTAGAGATCTCTGCCACTCTGGAGAAGGACCATGTGTAGTACCGCTCCTACAGTCGTAATGCGGCTTGGTCCTGCCTGCTTTGAGTCGTAATTAGGGGGTGTCCCTTGATGTCAGAAGTGCTGATGGAATTGATGAAACGAGACTGCATATGACCTTCGCTTCAGAGGACCGAAAGACACCGCAAAACTGAGCCGCTTCTGACACGAACGGCCAGGACATGCCAGGATGCACGAATGACATCCTCATGGGCCGAAAACTCCCCATTGGAATAGGCTCGCACTGAGCTCCTCGTACCTCTGCCTTGAGCAGCTCGATGAGAGAGTCAACTCGCGGAAGGAGGCCTTCTTTTTCTGCCTTCTTGGAGATGATGGGCAGGAAGGTCACGAGAAGCTCCTGGTCGCTTGCGGCAAGAAGACTCTGCCGCAGCTGCCAGTCTGGTTTGGGAATCGGACGGTGCGGGAAATGGCAGTAAGCACATGCCATCCCTTTTGGGCACACATGGCCTTTGGCGATGTGCACGCACGGTCTGTTGCAAAAATGCGGATGTCCGAAACTGCCGGTGCCGAATCGTAGCTTGGGTGCTGTTGGCCCGTGTTCTGGAGTCTCCAAGCCCGGTGGTGGCGAAAGCGCCTCCTGAGACCAGGGTCCCGGGAATGAATGAGCGTTGGGACCAATTGCGGTCTGCTCCGAAAGCGATTGAAGGGCACTGCTCGAGAAAGTCAAGAAGGTACATGGCGGAGCTGCAACTTGTACATCTCCATATGACTCACCTCGGCATCTGGCTTTGCTGTCTCTCACCCCGACAGAAAATCGTTAGCTGACACGCCGGGGCACGAAAGGGGGGGACCAAAGCTGCTGGCCGTGTGTACTCTGTCATGGCTGCTACGGGACCGCTTGGAAGGTGTGGGATCTGGAATAGAAATCCTCCTGCGCGAGCCTCACAGCTAACAGATAGACTGACAAAGACTCACCCAGAGAGACTCCTGTAGTCTACCAGTATGAGTCTCTGGGGCTATGCAGGGGTACCACCTTTCTGCTTCAGTGTGTCTAAACTACCGAAAGCCTGCTCTTTTACGACACTTTCCGGGCTCGCGCGTCCGTGCTTCATCCCCTCCGCCCAGGAGAACCTGCGTGCAAAGATGTGCTGGAGCTTCATCAGGGTTTAGGGTTTAGGGTTTAGGGTTTAGGGTTTAGGGTTTAGGGTTTAGGGTTTAGGGTTTAGGCAGCAGCTATAAGCAAGATTGTGATGCAGGGTGCAGGGGCGCAAAATACCGGGCTGTCAGCAAAGCTATGAAGGGTTAGAAACCCAAAATCGCTTGTCCTTACCCTCAAACCCTGGGCTCCGATACCGGGACCTGAATCATAGGAATAATGTAGAGGCCCTAGTAATTAAGAATAGGGTTTTGGGTGATCCTTATTACAATTATAGTATAAAATACCCCAAACCCTGTTCTAATTCTTAAGACCCCTACAGTATAAGGCTTTTCTTGACGAGTTGCCGAGACCCTAAGCCCGAACTCGAAAACCGGACAGGGAATCCGGATCTCCCGGGGAATCAGGTTTGAAACACACCAAGACCAGCAAGGGAAGGGTTCCGGGTTTTCTTTTTAGGGTTTAGGGTTTAAGGGTTTTAGGCTTTAGGCTTTAGGGCTTATAGGCTTT